AGGCATTTAAGCAATTAATAATATTTAGACAATCAATAATAATAAAAATAAATAAGCAATGATAAATATAATAAATAATTCTCAAATAAACAGGGCATTAGAATTTATCCTGCTTAAAATATTTCCTTCCTCGGAAATGCAAAAGAACACGTAAGACTCGAACGGGAATTCTCAATCATGAAGTTCGAGTATTCCCCTCCGAAACTCAACCTCGATCGCATGAGTATTATCGCCCTGTACTCAACATGCATGCACTCACATACAAGACCCAATCGGACTCGCCCTATGCTCATATGTTTACCTTCTTGCATGGGAGGGTGATCAATCCTGCCCGAGCTCAGGCGCACATCTTCTTGCAAGGGACCCAGTCCGGCTTGATCTATACACATGAGTTTCAAAATTTTTGCTCACAATTTCATCACGGACCGTGCGTCTCCATCAGAGACATCGACACGGTACCACATATAGGCGTGCAACTCCAAAAAGGCATCATACTCTGAAGATATCGACTCCACGAGTTGACCGTAGCCCTTATGCGCGACGTAAGGCTCCGTCCAATGGCAACACGAACTTCCCAATTTGTCGACTCGAGAAACTCTCGAATAAGACATGGGAACTCTTCGACTACATACCCTTCGATTACACATTTTTGTGGAACTTGGAGCTCTCGGTTCAATGTTCAAACGAAAAGGGTTCAAAAAGGATAACCAAATATTCTAGCATGAAACAGTTTCAACAGTTTAGGAAAGACATCGATAGATTGGGGTTAGTGCACTGTCACCCAAGAGGTGGCACGCTCGCTGGCGCTGCATAAGCGGGGCACTGGGATGCGCGCGTACCCACATACTTGGAGACCAGCTGCAAGGTCGAGGTTTGGCAGCATACGCTGCCTCGGGGAGTTTGTGTGTTCGGTAATGACGGCTGTAGCTCTCGTGCGAGTCAACGGTCGGCCCCGCGGTTGGCCTCGCGTCTCTCAGCACGGGCGTGCGTGCTCTGCCACCACTTCGCATGGCTACACCCGACTAGGATCGACTTTCGGTCTTTGGTTCCACAAGAAAGTTATAGTTCAAGACAATCCAAAAAGAAATGGATTTACCAAATTCCGAATTTTTAGGTTCAACAAACAATGTATTATTTCAGGCGTTTCATAATTATCAAAGGTTCAAGGGTTTCAGAAATGTCAAGGTTCAAGACCGAGCTCCAAGTCCACTTCTTTTAAAAAAGACACGTTCTAATATGCGAAGAGATGAACGATTGAGATAGACGAGAATTCTCAAAGAAATTCTAATACCGTTCTCCAGTCAAGAATAATCCCAAATCAACAGCTCCTGCCGAGAGATGCCATAACTAGCTCGCCTAGACTCTTCCGAAACTCCGAAAGAAGTAGGAGAATGAGAGTTCTACGATGGAAAAATTTAAAATAAGGACAGTTCTGCACCTCGCGATGTGCTTACTACGGACTCGACTATCCTTCTTAAAAGATTTATTATTTGTCTTATCTTTTAAGGTGGAAATAAACACTCCTTGATATGCGTCAAATCACTCCATCTTTCTTAACAAACCGATTTGTGTTGGCTTCTCCTCCTGTACGTTAATCTCAATGTCGAGCGCGAATAATTATTGTCTTTCTCGAGGGTAGGTTATTCACAAAAGTGGCGATAGAAAATTGTGCTCTCGAGTCTTCGTGATAATTTAGTGATGACATCGCAAAAAAAATCATATACTCCGCAAACGAATAAAGATAAGAAGAAACAAAAAGGTGTTTAATCTTATTTGCAATCAATTCTCCCAAAACGAAGTCAAGGTCCAACTAAGATATGTAAGAATCGTTTAAATCTCAAGAGAAAAAATGACATTAAGGTTGGAAAGCTTGCAAAAATTGCTTACACAGCATGGCTACACCCCGAACAAAATGAGAAGAAGAACTAGGTGAAGCAAATTTCCCAAAGTACGAAAATTGAATAACGAATGAAGCCTCAAGCATAATTCGACGTTGCTTGTCTTGCAAAAAGGGAATAAGTATAGGTTTGCAATAGTCTACAAGAAGAAAAAAATTTAGGAAAGGAAATAGGACTGCCCGCCTCCACGAGTCCACTATTTACTGCCTCTATCATCGGTTCAAGCTGCTCTTGGATGCCCACGATAAATTCAAGAAAACAACCAACGCATAGAACGAGTATACGAACATATATATACTCGTCTAACCAACGGATTTTCAAATACAACCAATGAAAAACGAATGATTTAAAACAGGAAAAATCCTAACATTATATCGAAATTCTCAACCATTAATTTTTAAAGAAAGAACTTAACTCTGTACCACTAAAGTTCCAGTTCATACGACTAAAGTTCATCACTCATCTAGAGTTCAAGAATGTCATAAGCAGTAGGATAAAATCTTAAGCCCCAATTTACATCTCATAATATCATAGTATTTTACAAAAGCAATTCAATATCACTTATGAACTCATACCTGAGTTGGCGCAGCACAACGGAAGCTAGTGGTCATAGTCATAACATATAATCCCAAAATTCGCAGAGTTCACATAATTCACATTCACCAGTCTACAGAAACACAGATTGGCTCCGATACCAATCCGTAAAGCCCACTTTTATTTGTCAAATTCAGGATAAATTTTTTAAATTTATTTTCTGAAACACTTGAGGCGCTACTCATTTTCAAAGCCCATATCAAAATTCAAACAATCATCATTACTCAATCCTCAATATTCATTTATCAATGATCCATAATCCAATAATAATCCAGTAATCAAATAAAACAATAATAACAATATTTCAGTTTCGAGCGGAAGCAATAACAATTATTATGACCACCACTTGTTTCCTTCCGTCGTGCCCCCAACACTAACCTGCATCCATGAAGAGCAGGTGGGGATGAGCACAAAAGGAAACAGTAGTGCTCACCACTATGCGATAAATGTTAATGTCAATAATCAACAGTAACCAATAATCATAAGGTATGGTCTCAGCATGTATACAAATTAATCATTTATCCCAAATTTTCCATCATATATTTCATCAATCAAGACTCGTGTGCACACCTATATCAATAGACTACTGCTGGTAGACGTATCGAATGCCCCATGGGCTTTTATCGAATGCCCCTCGGGCTTATACGTCTAATACTCCTCGGGCTTCTACACCGAATGCCCCTCGGGCTTCTATCGATGCCAGCAGTAGGAGTAAACCCCACGGAATTTGCATTACAGTTATGGGGATAACCGTTCGACGGCCGACACAGCTCACATCGAAGGCTACATATTTCACATACATACATTGATCATACCAAAAGCGGTCATTTATAACATTTAAAGCATAGCAATTTTAAATAAAACCCACCTGATACTGCAGAGGATGATGGTGAACGCACGATCAAACAAGGACGAGGGTTCGACTCCTCTTACTCTACAAATTAGGTTTTAATTATTATTATGGGTTTTGATTGAGGTTGATAAGCAACACAAACAAGTAAAACAACCCAAACCAACAACCCAAGCAAATAAGGGCAATTAAGAGAGACAAGCACAAACAAAGCTCACAACTCTGAACAAAATAATGCATGCTACTCACTTCATCCGTTAAAAGAAACAATCAATCTCTCTTCTACACTAAATGGATCATGTAGCAAATTAAATCAGATAACAAAGGTCTTAGCAGCAAGTTTGTGTGATTGTGTTGCAACGAACGACGTGTTGGGTGGCGGTGGCGAGCGACGTGCTCGGTGGCGGTGGCGGTCCGGCGGAGGTGTGTGTGTCCGGCGATTCTATTGGTGTGCGTAGGACTGGGAAAAAAATTCGAACTGAACTGCTGAATCGTAGATCCGAATCGAAATCGAACCGAATTTTCAGTTAACCGGGGTACTCGGTTCGATTACAAATACCTCAAAGGAAGTATTTGCTCGGTTCGGTTCGGTTACGGGTATTAGGATTTTTTTACCTCGGTTAACCGAACCGAACCATATATTATATTAAAATTTATAAAATAGATATTATATATTATATATTATATTTATATATATTAAACTAACTTGTTGATATGGCTATTCGCGAATTAACCAAATCGAACCGAGCAAACCTTCGGTTCGGTTCGGTTAATTCGCGAATAGTAAGATTTTTTCGGTTAACTGAAAATTCGGTTAACCGAGATTTTTGGTTCAGTTTCGGTTAGCAAGTTCGAATATTTGCTCGGTTCAGTTCGGTTAGTAAATACCTAAAAAAACTCGAGTATCCAAACCGTGCCCAGCCCTAGGTGTGTGTATGTGTGTGCGGCTAACTTGTGAGAGAGAGAGATGGGCAGAGGAAGATAAGTGGCGGGGCCCACATTAGTAGTGGGTTAATTATTGGGTATCTATATAATTACAAATTTACACTTAATTGGTGATCAAATACTACATTTGACCATAATATTACTACTTATTTACTATATTGCCATTAATAATTGACTATTTTTATTAAAGTTTGACTTAACCATGGACATTGATGAGATTGATCTAGTGGCTCATAATCATTCTTATTTCTTTCATTGTGCTTCATTCTCATTTGAGCACACTTATATATATATATATATATATATATATATATCCCACAATAATATTTATATTAATTAGGCAATTAATAGCAATAGACAATTAATCAAATAACAAGAACAATAATAATAATAATAGTAATAATAATAATAATAATAATAATAATAATAATAATAATAATAATAATAATAATAATAACAAAATAGCAATTAGGCATTTAAAAATTGTGATATTCTCTCTTTGAGAGCCCTAATTCTCTCTTTGAGAGAGATTATTTTTCCCCCGATTTCATCTCCTCTGATTTCATCTCCTCTGATTCTATGCATTACCCAACAATCTCACCTTAATTTGGATTTCATTTCTGTTCCCCTTCCTTATTTCTGTCGGCCGCAAGTTTCATTTCTAGGGTTGTTATGGCGGATTTTGATCAAGAGCTCTCGGAGCGGCTTAATAAAGTTGCCCTTTCTGTCAATGAAGAAAAAATCTTTGATATAGCTCAGAACGACATTAAGCTCAGTGATGACGAGTGCAATCGAAGCCTTTTCGGCAAAATAGTTGGAGATAGGCCAGCAAGCTGGATTGGTATAAAGCGAGCAATGTCCCAAATCTGGAAGCTTAATCAAGCTATGGAAGTGAAAGAACTCTGCCCAAATTATTTTCAATTTATTTTTCAAAACCGGGATGATATGAAGAAGGTGGCTAGTGGTACCAATTGGAGTTTCGAGAACCAGTACCTCGTCTTGAGAGAATGGGATATGAATATCAACAGCAAACACCCTAGTTTCCGGGAGCTGAATATTTGGGTCCAGGTTCAAAACATTCCTCTTAATTGGATCAGTACGGAAGTGGGGCTCAAGATAGGCCAGGCCTTCCACAAGGTCAAGAATGTGGTTATTGCGACTACAGGGAATCATGGAGGTAAGATTCTAAAACTCTTAGTCACTCTCAATGTGGAAGAATCTATTCCTCGTATGGCTAAGGTGAGGCTGGGAAATCAGTTAGTGACAGTCGGCTTCAAGTACGAGAAACTTATCAACCTCTGTCACTATTGCAGAAAAATTGGTCACTTAGATAGAGCATGCCAATTAAAAATGGATGATATTCGAAATAATTCTCTCAGAGAAGAACAGTATGGTGATTGGTTAAGAGCTCCTGATGGTGTTAAAGGAAATCCTTCCAGTTTTTCAGGCTCTAGATCAACCCCACCTCCAGAATCTCCATCACCCTCAGATAACAATATATCCCAAAAAGCTTCTTCCAGTCAAGGGCAAGCCAATAATCAAATAATCCCCAGCACTGGAATAATTGAGTCACCAGCTCAGTCAATGGGTGCACCTTCTGTAGTCTCAACTACTGGTAATGCTGCAGAGATGGGGAACCTAGAAGAAGCTAATCTGCAAATTGTGGATGCTAACCCCATGGATCTTGAAAAAGGAGAGTTATCCCCAATCTCAGAGTTCACATTTCATCATGAGTCTCTCCCAGCATCTCAACATCATCCTCTGAAATCATGGAAAAGAACAGGTACAAGATTGAACAGACTTCTCAGTAACAATGATTCTCCTATTATTATTAACCAGCAGTCCAAGGGCAAAAGAATCAGGCAAGTTGTGGACTCATCTACACTTCCTGAGGATCATGATGTTCAAACTCAGGCTCAACTCAAAAAACAAAAAACTGAAATGGAAAATGTAGGGGTGGCCAGCCTTGAATGGCCCCACCCTGATAAATGTTAGCTCTAGTGTGGAATTGTAGAGGGCTGGGTGGGCCCTCTACAATTTCCCAAATCAGAGAGCTCAAGAAAGCTCATCACCCCAATTTTATCTTTCTTTCAGAAACAAAAAAACCAAATGCCTTTGTCAAGTCTGTATGTAATAAGTTAGGTTTTGTTAATAGAATGGCTATTGTAGACCCCTTTGGTCTTAGTGGGGGTCTTGTTTTGTTGTGGGATTCCCAAGTTGTTGTTAATCAAATTATCTGTAAAAACTTTTTTATTGCTGTTGAGTTCCAGTTGCAGTCCCAACCCCTTCAATGGGGTGTTTTTGTCTATATTAGTCCTCTCAGACTGACTAGAGAATCCCAATGGGAGGAATTAATTACTGCCAAAGCTCAATGGGGATCTTATTGGTTTTCAATTGGGGACTGGAATGACATCCTCTCTAATTCTGAAAAAGCTGGAGGATCCAACAGACCTGCTCACAGCCTCATGGGGTTCAACTCCTTTGTATCTGATATGAACATGATGGAAGTCAATTCTACTGGTTATGCTTTCACTTGGAGCAACAACAGAGCAATGCCTGGCCTTATTGAGGAAAAGTTGGATAGAGCTTTCTGCTCTCTTGATTGGTCTCACTCATATCCCAATGCTTCAGTTACCAATATTCTCAGAAGCTCATCAGACCATGCTGCTCTCCTCTTAAGCATTGGTCCTCCTACCTTGAAAAGAAAAGCTCCCTTCCAATTTGACAAGAGATGGTTGTGTATGGAGGGTTTTAATGATGTAGTGACTTCTGCTTGGAATACCCACGTGTCAGGTACTCCTCTATTCCAACTCAAAGAAAAGGTCAAGCATACCAGGATTGCTATTCTTATATGGAGCTCATCCAATCTATCCTCAAGGCAACAAGAAATCTCTGACCTTACTCACCAAATGGAGGATCTCAATTCTCATGGGAAGGTTGAGAACTGGGAACTATGGGAAGAAACTAAGAGGAAACTGAACAAGGCACATATGTTGGAGGAGCTTCATTGGCAGCAGAAGGCAAAGTACAGATGGTTAAAAGAAGGGGATGCCAATACCAGGTTCTTTCATGCCTTCACTCTCCAGAGAAGGAAACTTAATGCTATAACCCGGTTGACTTCCCACAATGGCAGAGTCTTATCTTCTCAATCTGAGCTGGAATCACATATCTCTGAGTTCTATACTTCTCTATTCTCCTCAGAGGGCAGTTGGGGAGGGGAATCTATCCTTCACTTAATTCCTAAAACCATTACTCCAGATATGAACACTGCCCTCCTTAAACCAGTTGAAGAGGATGAAATTAAACAAGCTCTATTCAGTTTTCAAGCTGATAAATCCCCTGGTGAGGATGGGATGACAGCCATTTTCTACCAGCATTTTTGGAGCTTAATCAAAGCTGATCTCTTGAAGGCAATCATCAGCTTCTTCCAATCAGGTAATATTCTGAAATACTGGAACCACACAGTGCTATCTCTGATCCCCAAGTGTTTTTCTCCTGACAATCTGAGCCAATTCAGGCCAATAAGTCTCTGTACTGTTATCTACAAACTCATCTCCAAAATCTTGGCTCAAAGACTTAAGTCCTGCTTACCTTGTTGCATTAGTGATCTTCAAGCTGCTTTTCTGGAGGGCAGACAAATCACTGACAATATTATTATTGCACAAGAAGCTTTCCATTTCCTTAATAGACACTCTTCTGGCCCTCATGCTTTTATGGCTCTCAAGCTAGATCTTTTTAAAGCTTTCGATCGTGTTGAATGGATTTGTTTAAAGAAACTTATGATTCAGATGGGTTTTCACAATGATTTTGTCAAGCTGATCATGACATGTGTTACTACTACCTCATTTTCTTTCAAAATTAATGGCAGCATCAGTGGTTATGTCCTTCCCTCGCGTGGTATAAGGCAGGGGGATCCTTTATCCCCCTACCTTTTTCTTATTGTAACTGAATTGCTTACTGCCTTGGTTCAACATTCTATATCTTCTGGGATGCTCAAAGGTTTGAAACTGTCCAGAAATGGGCCTGTGCTATCTCACATCCTTTTTGCTGATGACTCCATGTTCTTCCTTAAAGCTGGTACTGACCAAGCAGGTTTTCTGATGAGCATTCTTGAGAAATACAAATTATTCACTGGACAGACGGTTAACCTTCAGAAATCTGCTGTCTTCTTCAGCAGAAACACATCTGACCACCTGAAGAGATCAATCTGCAATGCTCTGAACAACATTGTCTCTCACAGATCAACCAAATACTTTGGCTTGCCTTTGGGAATTGGTAGATCTAAAAAACAAGTTTTTGATTATGTGTTGAACTCTGTCAAGACTAAGATCACTTCTTGGAAATCTCAGATGCTTAGCTCCTCAGGGAAGGAAGTTCTTATCAAGTCCATCATTCAAGCCCTTCCTGACTATACTATGGCTTGTTTCACTTTGCCAATCTCTATTTGCTCTGAAATCACAAGAGTATGTGCAAAGTTCTGGTGGAAATCAGGGTCTGACCAGGCTCATGGAATCCATTGGAAAAGCTGGAACCATCTTTCTCTTCCCAAAGAAAATGGAGGCTTATCTTTCATTGATCTGCCATTATTCAACAAAGCTTTAATTTGTAAACAACTTTGGAGAATTGCCACTAATCCAGAGCTTCTTGTCAGCAGAATTCTTAAGGAAAGGTACTTTCCTAACTGTTCCCTGGTTAATGCTTCTAGAACTTCCAATGGCTCTTGGATGTGGAATTGCTGGATGCAAGTTATCCCTTATTTTGCTAAATGTCTCAATATTGAAATCAGAAGTGGTGTGCAGACTAAAATCACTGATCTAAACTGGATTCCACATCACTCCAAACCCAGTCCTTCTCTCATTCCTATTGCTAGAGATCATTTGATTTGGGTTAGAGATTTATTAAACAATGAGGGAACTCACTGGAATGACTGGTTATTAAGGCAAGTGTTTGATGAAGTTGACTGTAATGCCATCCTGCAAATCAACTCTATCTCTCCTTCAAGAGAGGACAGGTTATATTGGGGCTTGAGCAAGAAAGGCTTATTTTCTGTTTCTCAGACTTATGCTCATCTATTGTCCTCTAAAATACATAAACTTGACCACCCTGAAAGCAGCTCTTCTACCACCCTCAAGAAGTCCATTTCATTCAGACACTGGAAGCTTAAATTACCAGGTAAAATCAACATTTTCATCTGGAAGTGTCTTGCTAATTCACTTCTTGTTACTACAAACCTGAGGAAGATGGGAATTGACTTGGAGTCTACTTGCATATTGTGTGGTGAAGCAGCTGAGACAGTAGAGCATCTTTTTTCTCTTGCAGTAGGGCAGTGAACTGCTGGAAACTTAGTCCAGTTCAGTGGGATGGTTTATTGTGTTGCACAGATTCTTTCAAAACTTGGTGGTATCATGTTTGTTCTCTGGATAATTCTGAAGTTGCCGAAGCCCGTATTCTTCTCTCGACCTATATACTTTGGTGGCTTTGGAAATCCAGGAACTTGTGGGTATTTCAAAACACTCGTATCCCGGAACCCATCTTGGTCAAGCTGGCTTCTGCAGACTGGTTGGAGTTCACATCGGCTACTACTTCTTCTCTTGTTTAGCTTGCTTGCTGGTTCAGTTTTCTTTGTTTTTTTTGTTGTTTGTTTTGTTGTTTTTTCCCTGTTAGGCTCTTTGAGCAGTGGCAGGTGACCTTTTGTCTAGTTCTTTGTTGGTTATGACTGGTTTTTTAGCTTTCTTTGTTGAGGCTCTAGACTGCTTGTTGCGCGTCTCTCATTTTTATTTTTCTTTCGAGTTGTGGGGTTGTAATTCGAACTTGGTTCGCCTTTTTATTTCTATATAGTTATCCCTGTCGTTTCGGAAAAA